CTTGGTAAGGTGGAGGGTCAGCGAAAAAGAATAAAGTCCAGATGGATTGACACAACGATGGGCAACGAGGGCTCAGGTATAGCAGAGATCATGGAGCTGGCACAGGACCGGGCAGTGTTTTGTTCAGCTGTACATAGGGTCCCTGTGAGTCAGAGACAACTCGACAGCACCTAACAACAACAACAGAATATTCATCTTCTCATTTTAATTACAATGCCCCTCTCCCATGGCTGCCCCCACTCCAACCAGCACAGACCAGAGGAGTGTCAACTCTGTGCCTTTGACCTTTGACGGGCCCTTACAGACACCCATGCACTGCTCACTTAATCCTCACAGGCTACCTGCTCGGGGATATTAGGAGGAGACCTGAAGAAACTTGCTGCCCCATGAAACCAGCCAGTGACAGAGGAGAGGCTGGGTCCCTTCTCCTTCTGTGACACAATGCTGCCACCTGCAGGCAAAACTGAGCATGAGGCCAGGAGGCCAATGGGCTGGCTTCCTTCCCTGCCCACCCTTGCCCCTTGGTCTCCAGCCTGACTTCCTCCAGTGCCACGCCCTGCTGCTCTCAGCCACAAGCACCCCACATCTGCGGATGGCTGACCAAGCTAAGGTTTTACTTCTGCTTCCACCAGAATGGCTGGCTTTTAAGACCTGCAGGAATATATCTCTACATTTGAACTCTAAGCAGGATTGTTGTTGTTGTTGTTTGTCGTCGAGTCGGCCCCGACTCATAGCGACCCCTCCTTGGGTTTCCGAGGCAGTATCACTACGGAAGTAGGATTGCCCAACCTTCCTTCCTAGGAGGGAATTTTCAAGAGCTTTAATTTGCTCTACCTCCTACAAGGTTATAGTCCCTGGGTGGTGCAAACGGTTACACGTCCGACTGCTAACCAAACACTTGGCGGTTCGAACCCACCGCAGGCACCTTGGAAGACGGGCCTTGCAATCTTCCGAAGGGCACAGGCATGAAAACCTTCCAGAGCGCCGTTCTACTCCACACACGTGGGGTCATCACGAATCGGAATCAACAGTGTCGGGTTGGGTTCTTTGGTTTCCTATCAGGCTGATCTGCTGCTTCTCCGTGTTGAACAATACAGCCTCCGTTCCCTTTCAAAAATTCCCTTGCTCCTGGGAATGTTTACGTCCACCTGACTTGCAGTGTAACCTGTCCTTGTCTTTAGGCTTTCCTGAGAGGTCAGGGCGATGCAGGCACGTGACAGGTCGACATGTTTACCGCAGGACAAAGCACCCTCACAGTGGTGCTACCTTAGGATGCCCACAGCTCACACTGCCCTCCAGCAGCAGTCACACGTTTCTGCTCCTTCACCTGCGTTCTGCCACAGGCTTTACCGCGATTGAAAAGCATCTCACCACAGCCACCTCATTGCTGCCTCCCACACAGACTCACCTCAGACCCAATTTTAGCTAGATTGTCTTTGGCTCCATGATAGCCACAGTGAGGAAGGTCAGAGGGGAGGTATCCCCCTGTCACCTCTGTGATACCTCAGGCGACATTAACATCCAATTCATTTCAATGGGGCCCCGTCTTCAAGGGGGCCACCTGGATAGCCCTCCCTCCCTCAGAATAGCAGCCCCCTCAGTCCCACAGACTCTGCATTGTGGCCCACGACCTGAATCCCTGCATTTGAAGAAAACACCAGCTGGGCTGCAGCCTATAAGGCCAACACACACTCTAGTCTCTGGCTCACGGCTGCAGAGCAGGCAGACAGTCGTGGGGTTGGGGTTTTGCTTTTCTGTAATGAACATCCCTCTTTGTTTTAAGCCTTCCTCAGAAGTTTTGCCAAAAAGATTCTAAAAAAAGATGAAACATGACATTTTTATTGCACATTTAAAAAAAAAAAAAAAACTATTCAAAGCCTGTAATTTACTTGTTTATTACCAGTGAAGTTATAGTCATCACAGTGAGGACCTGCAAGACAGAGCACGAGGCTGGGGTTTGGAGAAGCTGAAATGAAGCTCCAGATTGCTTCTGCGTATCCAGATTGTGGTTAACATTGAATCGGGAAGATGAGGACTTTTTTTTTTTAGCCAAAGGAAGAGCTTCAGTTCCCGAGTTGCCAATGACCATTCTCAAAGGAAGACCAATGTGCAGCTCAGTGCCTGTACCCTGATCTCAAGTCCCTGTGGCCTGTGGCCATCACTTGTTCTTAGCTAGTGCTCTCCAGTCCCTAGAGAAGGACACTGTGCCTGGCAAAGTAAAAGGTCAGCAAAAAAGGGGAAGACCCTCAACGAGATAGACTGACACAGTGGCTGTTACAATGGGCTTAAGCACAACAATGACTGTGGGGCCCAGGACTGGGCATTGTTTTGTTCTGTTGTACTTGGGGTTGCTATGAGTCAGAACCAACTCAATGGTGCCTAACGACAAAAACAACAACCAAACCCAAACTCACTGCCATTGAATGGATTCTGATTCATAGCAACTCCCATTGGGTTTCCAAGGCTGTAAATCTTTACGGAAGCAGACCACCTCCTCTTTCTTCCACAGAACAGCTGATGGTTTCAAACCACTGAACTTTTGGTTAGTAGCCAAATGCTTACACACTATACCACCAGAGCTCCTTAACAACAACAACCAAACCAAACCAAACTCACTGCCGTCAAGTCGGATCCGACTCATAGCGACCCCTCCTTGGGTTTCCGAGGCAGTATCACTA